CAACATTTTTCAATGAAAGTTTCATATTTTCTTCAAATCTTCTCCCTGCCTCAAAAATGCAGGTAATCATTACCAGAACCTCTAAAGTGCTTGGGAATTAATGACATACAGGATATACAGGCTGCCCAGCAATGTCATCCCTCCAGCCCAGTAGTGTATTTCAAGGTTTCAATCTCTGAATTCCACCTCACTGGCTTACAGTTTGGCTCCTTCTCTCCCACAAACAACAAATGAATCCATAAAGATTTTTTTCTTAAAAAAAAAAAAAAAAGAAAGAGAAAAATGAAATTACCATCATTTTTATTGTTTATAACAGGATTTCTCATTTGCATTTTGGAAGAACCATGACACATATCAGCAGGAGTAGTTGGTATTCATACTTTGTCTAACAATTGCAAATAGATTATACACTTTTTTTGACTGAGACACAAGATCAGGATTCAGAAAGAAAGAGGAAGGTATAATAAATGGCACTGGATTTTCAATCACCAGGTTCAAAGAATATTGTATGGTATTAATCACAAAGAAAATATCCATGAAACAGAAGTAAACGCCCAGTCAACAACATGGGCAGTTCACAGAAGAGTTTAAATTAGCTAATAGTCAACATTTCAGGTCAACTTGCAGTTACACACTTCCTAAATTAGTGTTCACTATATTTCAGTTACTTATTATTTGATGATTTTGCATCCATGGCTACAAATTTCACTACAAGACACAACTTGTCAAAAATTAACAGCAATTTAGAAAACAAAAAAGTAGCAAAAAAGCTTGACCACATGCACATAAACTTTGCACTTACACAATTAAAGAATGTGTCTGATTTTTAAAATTAAAAAGTAGTTTATCAACTTCAGGCATTTTGCAGAAGAGGCTTTTGCCCAGCAGACTACACACGCTGCCTGCCCAGTGAGGACAGACATTCTCAACAACCTACTGAGCCTTTTGCACAAGTCAACATTTTTAACAACCAACAAGAGTAATGAGTAGTGGCCACTCTAAACCTCAGCCCAATATCCAGCAAATGCAATTCTTCTGGTCACTTCTTATACCTATCAAAATTGATATCCTATTCTCTGTCTTTGATCAAACACAGCAACACACAAAGAACAAGTATTGGCCACAGAACAGTCTACGGGTCCAAGTCCACAAACTCAACAGAACTTCATCCAAAGTCAAAGCAAGTTGTTGGCAATCCTGTCACACAGACCAGTCCCTAAACTTCTCTCCTGCTTCCAAGAGAGATCCCTTCAAGACTGGCTTAAGCCACACTATGAGGATGGGGAAACTTGCCAAAGCAACTGGCCATGATTTATCTTGTCTTGGGAATACAGGCCTTCAGTCTTCTACCTTATCAGTTCAGCACCTCTGCTAGGCAGTCAACTTGCTGAAGACATAAACCCATCTAGGGAACCTTTCACTGGCTTCTCCAGATGTGTTCACCCACAGCAACACAAATGTAACTGCATTAACAGGAGACACACGTCCACCAACAGTCCAGTAAGACATCTTGTTCTGTCAAGTGTCCTGCAGGCTGCCTGTCTCCCTTTGACCTTATCCTTCCAGCCTCTGGATATAAATATTTTTGATAGAACACTGCCTGGATGTACATTAACTAGGAGATAAAGCAGTTTTGGGTTTGGGTGGCCACTTCTTTACCCAGAAGACAAGAATGGCTCCAAAACAACAACAGCTTTTCACTCCTAGGGAAGACTTCTTGTGAAAATAAAAACAAGGAAGTTAAATCCAAGAGAGCCATAATGCTTTTCAATTAAGGGCAAGGATGTGAAATTGCCACACATAAGACAGGAAATTCAAAGTTAGGCTGTCACCTCATTCCCTTCTTCACCCCAAAACCTTCCTCTCCCGTCAGCACACCCTTTGACCAGCTCCCGAGTGATGAGCGAAGGATGGCACGTCAGAACCTTAACTTTGAATATTTTTGGCTTCTTTTGCAACCTTAACCGTATCGTTAGAGCACGGAGAGCCGAGGAGTTTAAATTTTAATATTTTGCATCATCGCAGCCTGCTGCATGGCCAAGGCACAGGATGGTGGCACAGGACTTCGGTACAGACACCAATCCAGGAGGAAAGCCCCTCTTGCCCTCCCTCCCCCTCCGGACACATGCAATAACTCGGCTTTGCACGCATTTTTGCACACCGCCGGGCTCGCACTTCGCCGTGCTCACTCCCGGAGCAAGTCGCGGCTGTCAGCGCTGCTCACCCCATCCAGAATCCTCTCCCCCCCCCCGCCCCGTTCTCCTTCTAGAGTCAAAGTGCTGTGTGAACGGGGGGGTTGGAGGGAGAAGGGGAGAGCGCAGGCCACGGGTAACACTTTGCCGTCTCCTTTCAGTCACATTTCCGTCCTCCTCCGGCAAAACTGGGGAGGGAAGGGGCGGCGGGGGGGAGGACGGGGGGGCACACACGCAGGCGCCGGGCCCAGCGGGAAGGGGCAGCCGCAGCAAGTGTGGGTGACAAGACCGCCGGCTCTCCTGAGAGCAACAAAAAGGCGGGTGGGGTGGGGTGGCCGGCGGGGCCGGGGGCAGGGCCGGCGCTCGGGGGCTGTTACCTCGTAGAGTTCCTCGGAAGCCATGCTGGGGAGCCTCACAAGGTGGAGTTGGGTGCTGGTTTGGAAATACTTTGTTTCAGTTGGTGTCCGTGTGGCCTCCTCCTCTTCCTCTTCACCCTCCTCCTCCTCCTCCTCTTCTTCTTCTTCTTCTTCTTTTTCTTTTTCTTCTCCTCCTCCTCCTCCCGCTATCCTTCTCCTCCTCCTTTTCCCCTCCTCCTCCTCTTCTTCTTCTTCCTCCTCCTGCCTGCGCGTCTCTCTCCAGCGCAACTCGCAGCTCCGGTCGCTAACAGCCGGTGAGGTGCTGCCGCCGCCGCTGCTGCTGGTGGCGGCGGGTCTGCGCGCACGGCAGCTGCGCAACTCGCTGGCTCCCCGCTCGCGCCCGCTCCCTCGCGCTGCCTCTCTCGCACGCCCCGGCAGGCCGGCACGCACGCACGCACGCACACACTCTCTCCCTCGCGCGCGCACACACACACTCTCTCACGCGCGCACACACGCACTCGCGCACGGCGGCTGCACCCCGCACCCCCCCCCCCACCCCACCACCACCACCACCACCCCTCCGTCCCCGGCTCGCTCAGCTCGTTCGCTCCCTCCCCAGGAACACTAATCGAGCTCAGAGAGCGCCACACGCAACCACCCCGCCCCGGCTCCAGCCGCCCCCGGCACCATCCTCCTCTTCCTCCTCCTCCTCCTCCTCCCCCCGCTTTGATCTCCCATTGTCTGCTCAGCTGAGCCTCGGCGGCGCGCGGGGGCCGGCGGGGCCGCGCCCGGGGAACCGGGGATGGGGGGGGGGGGGGGTGCGGGACGGCCGCGGAGTTCGGAGAGGCGGGCGGAAAGCGCGGGGGGGGGGGTGCTGGGACACGGGGCCCACGCACGTGCGGGGCCCTCGTTGCTTCCCCTTTGCCCTACCCCGCGGCTTCTGGTACCCGCAGTCATCCCTCTCCTCACCACCACAGCTTGTCCAGCCCCACGGGGCCATCCCAACCCGTTGGCCAACTCTACCACCCTATATACAAGCAACGATGTAGTGCATCTGTCTACGTTTTCTTCTGTCCACACTTGGTGGAATACGTTTGCCATAAACGAGTGAAGGACATGGGCAAATCTGCATGAGAGCTAAGCAGCCCCACATGATCATTGCGCACAGCTTCCATCTCCCAGCTGACCGTGTCTGCAGAGTCAGGAAGGCGCTACACCAAGACCTCCCTTGGATGATGGCTCAACAGAAAGTAGATGAGCTGTTGACTTTCTTATGAGTCCAGTACTGTTTACACCACAAAACTTGTCGTTGTCACCTCATGTGTCATCTGGGAGTGTTTCATAGGAAATTGGGCCAGCAAGGTGCCGTGTAATAACCCATTAGCTCCATGAACTGAAGGCATCGTTGTGCAAAGGTAGATGTGACAAGTTACTCCTTCAAGAGCAAATTCTGCATGACAGCTTCTGATCTCAAAAAGGCCTAAGGGTGGGACAAAACCAGTGTCAGGAGAGGATTGCCTTACTCCACCTTTCATCACACCAAGGCATTTGTTCCAGTGAGTGTTTCCTATTCTGTACCATGTCAGGAAGATGCAGAACAGAACAAGTTAAAGAAGAGTCCATCATGTTTGTGTGATCAATGAACCCATTGGCACAACTAAATTTTTATCAAGCTATCTCTTTTTTTTTCTTTATTATTTTGTCAAAGTCCTTCAAAAACATTTCTGAAAAGCCAAGAAATTCCTCAACATTCTACTTTGATAAACGTGTTTTGGACCATTGTCCAGCGAGTACCCATTTGGAAGACATTGATCCATTTGTAGGCTTTGGGTGATTTATGCACAAAGAGCTGGAGATTCCCATCTCAGAGGTTGTTAACCTGGACATTCCTTGTGACAAATACATCATGTCTCCAAAGTCAACATCCTTCTTCTGGATAACTGAAATTCTGGTTCTGGACTGCTAAACAGACATAATTACCCTGCTCTTGCAGGGGAGTTGGACCAGATGATCTCTTGAGGTCCCTTCCAACCCTTGGGATTCTGTGATTCTGTGATTCTGTGTTTTGTGCGGATAAGACATCTAGCAACTTTCATGCTTTCCATACTTTCCTAATTTCCTAACCAGCCTATTAAAAGGTATTTGAACCACTGCTTGGGATCTTCAAGACCGAGTCTTGAAGTCTAAGTGGTGCAAAAGGGGGTCGTTCTGTGACAGTAAGTGGATTGTTGACGAAAGGATAGGCCTGTATGAAATGGAGGCAGTTAAGATCTAGGAACTCTGTGACTGCCTTCTGGAGGTGAGCATTTAATCACAGTTCCTAAGATGTGGTCTGAATCCTTTTTGAGCGGTACATGTCATGCCATCATTGTACCCACCTTCTGAAGAACAATCTTTTAAGGTAATAGGTACTTATGTTTTAGCAAAGAGATGGCAGCAGTGGTTTTTTAGCAAAGAGATGGCAGCAGTGGTTGCTAAAGACATTACTTTGCTTGCACGGCATAAGAATAAAACTTCTTAATTTTTACTAATGGTCTTACTGTTGCAGTAAACCAGGTCTTAGGTCTTGATCTTCTGGGTGACTAAAAAAAAAACCACAATTCATCAGTACTGCTCTAATTTTAGTATTTCGAGGAAACAACAAAAGCTCAGACCTATTACTAATTTTTAATCTTTCAAACACACTCCATGTTTCATCTTCAGTGAAAGAAGTTCTGTTACACATATTCATTTTTTGCACTGCCACTTAATTCCTCTCTGGTTTCTGTTCTAACCTTTTGTCCTTGTTGCTATATAAGGCTTTTCAGGAGAATCAACCATGCTGTTATAAAATACCATGCAGTAGTGGTGCCCAGGTTTTCCAGCTGGACTTTGCTTCACTAACTTCCATGATAGCTTGTTTTCATCTTGCTTTCGCTAGAAAAAAGTCAAGTTCTCCAAAGATTGTATGGCGAATTGTCTAGATCACCATTTCCTTCTTGCTTCTTAAGGCATTTCACCTTTACTCACTGAGGCAGGTTTGCCAATTTTCAACAATATTTTGGTTGTTGAAAGCTGTCTTCATGCCAGTTGCCTAAATGGCTTTACTAACATTGCATACAGATGTTTCTAGTAGAGAAGTTGTATGGAATACAGTAAGGAAGCAGTCTAGGAAAAGTGGAAAGCCAGGCCAGTTTGAGTTTTGACAGTGGCAGCAAATATTTCTCGAGGTGCTTGAGACAGCCTTGGTTAAACTAGCTTTGGACAGAATTGAGCAATGTCAGCTGACCAGGAAGCATTAGCATACACACATGGCACTTCCAGTTTGAAGTGGACAACCACCTACAGTGACAGTCCTGGTAAAGTCAGGAGAACAGTTATACTTCTATTTAGCAGAATGAAGAATGTTCTATGGTACGTAAGATCATGGTATAAAGTTCATTTGAAAGGTCAACTCCATTTTGACCTCACTGTGTGCCCTTGTAATGTCTATGAAGATCTTTATGGATGGTGGAATAGCTGAATTTGAGATAGTTAATGGTGGCAGGCCACAGCTGGCTGGAAGTTTATGGTACTGGAAACACTACAGATATCTGTATTAGATGGGAATGGGCCTCCATCTCCATGATTTGCTCTAACCAAGGGATAACAGCCTTATTTGATATGCAGGTATTTATCCACAAGGTCATAACTCATGATAATAAAGTGACTATCAATAACTTACAATCAGTTATATTAAGGTGATTATCTACTTTTTTAGTATTTGGGAGTAGGGCTTGAAAATGAAGGATTTAGTAGCTGAGACAGTGATTAGCTAAAGGATTTCAAAAGGCAGTAATGATACGGCTAAACGTATCAGGCACTAACATCTGATCAGATCATCCTATGCTATCTTTCCACAGTGAATGGAAAGCTAGTCAGCATAGTCAATGGAATTCACAGCATGCTTCATCTCATCCTAAAGTAGACACCTCTGTCTGATCAGATGAAGTCTAAATTTGATTCACTTTGTTGGCTATAACAATTGTGGGTTTGTTTTTTCTTTTCAATTTTTACCAATTGGAAGTATGGCACCTATTCCGCAACTGCCTAAAGATAGTTGAGATTAATCCTACTCGTGTTTCCAGGCTTCCTGGATCTAAACCAACTGGATAATCTAAAACTCCATACTGGCCAAACTATGTTGACAGGTTAGATATGAAGTACATAATATTCTTTTGCACCTAATTTTTTTTTTGATCCTATGCTCTTTTGTCCTCATCTCAACACCCAGGATGTAGTTCATCCTTGCCCTCTGATACTCTCCCTAATTTCTGTCCCTCTTCTTTTCCTCATCTCTTCTTCGTCTACATCTTGGCCTTTGGCCTTCTGAGTGGTCCAAGACGCTTAAGTTCAAATGAAGAAATAAAAATGCTAGAAAAAAACCAAACATTTCTTGCTATGCATATCTTCCAACGAAACTGAGAACTGTTTTTCCCATTTTGTAATGACAGCAGTTTGAACAGGTATCATTTCAGGAAGAAAAACAGATTTAGTTCTGTGCCACATTGAGGAAAATGGGATCACCTGAAGGAACAACTGTTAAAACAAGATTCTTTACATTAAAGTCTAGAAGAGAGAGGCTCCTAATTCTCTAAACTACTAAGACATTTCCACACACGCTCAAACATGGGGTAAAAGTTGGACTTGATGACCTTAAAAGTCTTTTCCAACCTGGTTGATTCTATGATTCTATGACATTACTTTCACTGACCTGCAAAACACTGAGAGAGCTGGGCTTGTTCAGTCTGGAGGAGAGAAGACTTAGGAGAGACCTTGTAACAGTCTTACAGCACATAAAGGGGGCTGACAAGAAATCTGGAGAGGTACTTCTCACAAGGGCATGTGGGGATAGGACAAGGGGGAATGGATTGTAATTGACAGAGTGGAGATTTAAGTTGACATTAAGAAGAAATTCTTTACTGCGAGGGTGGTGAGACACGGGAATAGGTTGCCCAAAGAAGCTGTAATTGCCCAATCCCTGGCAGTGTCCAAGGTCAGGCTGGATGTGGCTTTGAGCAACCTGGTCTAGTGGAAGGTGTCCCCTCCCACAGCAGGCGAGTTGTAACTACATGATCTTTAAGGTTGCTTCCAACCCAAACCGCTCTGTGATTCTATGGCGATTCTATGACTTCTAGATTAGATTAAGGCAGTAATACAATCAGATTTAAATATCAGACGAAAAGAATGGTAATTATGGTTATAAATAGATTCTTGGTAATTTTTGTTGACTGACATCATCATAGCTTACCTTATTTACAAGCTCAGGGTTGTTGCTACAAGCTCATGAGTGTTGCATCCCAACGAGAAGGAAGTGCAGCAGGAGGGACAGGAAACCTCCTTGGATGGATAAGGAGCTCCTGAAGAAACTTCAAGGGAAAAAAGAAGCTTATAAAAGGTGGAAGCAAGGACAGGAAGCCTGGAAAGAGTAGAGGGATGTTGTACAGGAAGCTAAGGACCAGGTTAGGAAAGCTAAGGCCCACTTAGAATTAAACTTGGCTAGGGATGTGAAAGATAACAGGAAAGGATTCTGTAGGTACACTGTGAATAAAAGACAGACTAGGGACAAACTGGGCCCTCTCTGGAAGCTATCAGGAAAAATGGCTACCCTGGATTTGGAGAAGGCCGAGGTTCTCAATGATTTATTTGCCTCGGTTTTCACTGGCAAATGCTCTGACCACACCACCAGGACTTGGAAGGCAGACGCAGGGACTGTGAGAATGAAGACCTTGGGCCCACTGTAGGAGAGGATCCGGTCAGAGACCATCTTAAGAACCTGAACGTGCACAAGTCCATGGGACCTGATGAAATCCACCCATGGGTCCTGAAGGAGCTGGGAAATGAAGTTGCTAAGCCACTGTCCATCACATCTGAAAAATCCTGGCAGTCAGGTGAAGTTCCAGATGACTGGAAAAAGGGAAATATAACCCCCATTTTCAAGAAGGGGAAAATGGATGACCCGGGGAACTACGGATCAGTCAGTCTCGCCTCTGTGCCTGGCAAAATCTTGGAGCAGATACTCCTGGAAGGCATGCTGAGGCACATAAAAAACAACAAGGTGCTTGGTGACAGCCAGCATGACTTCACTAAGGGGAAATCCTCCCTGACCAATTTGGTTGCCTTCTATGATGGGGCAGGGGTAGAGCAGTTAATGTCATCTACCTGGACTTGTGCAAAGTGTTCGACACTGTCCCACACGACATCCTTGTCTCTAAATTGAAGAGACATCAATTTGATGCATGGACCACTCGGTGGATAAAGAACTGGCTGGATGGCTGCATGCAAAGAGTCATGGTCAATGGCTCAATGTCCAGCTGGAGACCAGTTACGAGTGGTGTCCCTCAGGGATCGGTGTTGGGACTAGTCTTGTTCAATATCTCTGTCGGTGACATGGACAGTGGGATTGAGTGTGCCCTCAGCAAGTTTGCCAATGACACCAAGCTGTGTGGTTCGGTTGCTATGCTGGAGGGAAGGAATGCCATCTAGAGGGACCCTGACATGCTTGTGAGGTGGGCTGATGCCAACCTTATGAAGTTTAACCATGCCAAGTGCAAGGTCCTACACCTGGGTCGGAGCAATCCCAAGCACAGCTACAGGTTGGGCAGAGAAGAGATTCAGAGCAGCCCTGTGGAGGACTTGGGGGTGCTGGTCGATGAGAAACTGAACATGAGCCAGCTTCAGTGTGCGATTGCAGCCCAGAAAGCCAACCGTATCCTGGGCTGCATCAAAAAGAGCGTGACCAGCAAGGTCCTCGAAGGAGGTGATCCTGCCCCTGTACTCTGCTCTTGTAAGACCTTACGTGGAGTATTGTGTGCAGTTCTGATGTCCTCAACATAAAAAGGAGATGGAACTGTTGGAACAAGTCCAGAGGAGGGCCATGAGGATGATCAGGGGACTGGAGCACCTCCCGTATGAAGATAGGCTGAGAAAGTTGGGGCTGTTCATCCTGAAGAAGAGAAGGCTGCATGGAGACCTTATAGCAGTCTTCCAGTATCTGAAGGGGGCCTACAAGGATGCTGGAGAGCGACTCTTCATTAGGGCCTGCAATGATAGGAGAAGGGGTAATGGGTTAAAAATTAAACAGGGGAAGTTTAGATTGGATATAAGGAAGAAATCCTTTACTGTGAAGGTGGCAGGGCCCTGGAATGGGTTGCCCAGGAAAAGTGTGAATGCTCCATCCCTGGCGTTGTTCAAGGCCAGGTTGGACAGAGCCTTGGGTTGCACAGTTTAGTGCAAGGTGTCTCTGTCCGTGGCAGGGGGGTTGGAACTTGATGATCTGAAGGTGCTTTCCAACCCTATTTTATGATTCTATGATTCTACCTAGGTGTTTACTGATAAAGACATAGTTTCTTTCAGCAAATTTGCACTTTCGAAGAATGCTAGCAGGTACTCCCCTGTTTCGGGGTGTACTTCAATGATAGACTTATTGGAATATTTTTTTTAAGAGGCATTTTTTCATCTTCACCTTCTGCCCATGACATGAGTTCATATTATCATCCAACCTCTACCCCTCTAAAACCGAGACATGAAATTACAGTAAATATTGTCAGAGATGTCCACTGATTTCTCTGATTTCAATTAAAGAGGCCTAGATTTAAGTACCTCAGAGAATATAGTACCTTTTATTTTAAAGGTGTCATCTTTGTTGGTGTTTGTCACAAGTGTAAATACTGGATGCTTCTGTGACACCAGCTAGGTACCCAGTACCTTGAATTGAGTTTCAAAAAATATATGTAGAAGCCATCCATGACTTACATGTTTTAAATGACTTGCTTAGTATCAAATGGAAGATTTGTGATGAAAGTATGACTAAATTATAATCTCACAGGACAAAATGCATGTTTCATCTATGGGACCTGCTTTTATCTTCCTCCATTCTCCTGCCTCTGCCACCATCCACCTTTCTAGTTCTGCAACACATGAAACTGGAACTTTAAAAATGACAGCTTCCATCATTATACAGAAACAGACATATATAGCTGTGACTATGAGAGCCATGCAGTCAGTGTTAACAGAGGTGAGATTAATATCTATCTCTTTATGTCCCTGGTAAATCTGTATGCTACACATTCCTGATGTTTTCCTAGAAGGCCCTCTGTGCCTTGAATGAGTCAAAAGCTCCATAGAAGTACTAATGTGAATAGCTGATCGGAGAACACACATAGACAGTGAAGGTATAAAAGTATTGTCTAACTTTAAAGAAGTTTATGTTTAAAAGTCCCAAACTGGAAATCTAAAATGATCTAAAATAAAAATGATCTTGTGCAATCATGTTGCTCACCCTTTCAGCTCACCTAATGGGTCACTAGCACGGTTTAGATGTTTAGGTCCACATCAGAGATAAAAAGCTGTAGCTAATTCCTTGAACTCCTTGGCTCTATTCAAAGTAGAGCTGTCTACCACTGGAATGTAGCTTCCCTTGCCTTGGTGAGGATGAGAATGATTTTATAAAACAGCTAAGAAAACAAAATCCTAGCTTAATAGTTGGGTTGGGAACACTTCAATTGGCTGATCAGCCATAACAGTTCGCTCATCCTCAGAATCAAGTAGAGATCATTATGAAATGAAGAAAATTGATCCTGAAAACCGAATTAAGGGATGTCCTCTTCAGTTTTTGAAAGGAGGTGTCATAAGCTAAGAAAGCGGTAGGTGGAGAACTGATGTAAATGTAGGTAGGTGGAGAACTGATGTAAATGTAGGTACCATGTCTGAGAGAGATCCATTCTTTGCTTTTTTTCTGGAATCTGTAACTTATGTTCTCATGACTAAATGCAGTTTTCAAGTAAGTATATGGAGAATAGAGACAGGTGAAATTCTGTAGTTTTATAGAGGATACAGCAAGCTCCACAGATTTTTAATGAAGTATATATTGGGATGCAGCTCATGCAGGAGATTTAGTCATAAAAGATTATTATTTTTTTTCTGGCTGCAAGTATGGTATTTACAGGTTGGCTTTTCCAGAGTTTAAAAATCTCCAGCTTTTTTTCTTTTTTTCCTCAACATGATGTATCAAGCCTTTTCAAAATCCTATAACCAGTGTGCCAAGTGAAGAGAAAGTTAGTCTGGGTGGTAAACTGTTAGCTGCTTTCCATTATAAGGGCATTTGTAGATATTGAGAAAGAACCAGGTTTTGTTCTACATTGGAAGGAATTGTTTCTACAATTCCTTCTGAACTGTAGAAACACTAGAAAACATCAATTGTTTTTTCATTCAGAGGAGAAGAAGAAGCAGCTTAACTATCTTTTCTCCTTAAATAACTGAAGAAGGGAAAACTGAGAAATGCAAAGGAAAGCTATCTTCTAGAGCAACAGAAATGCACTATTACGAACAAAAAGAAATTTTGGATCCAACAGGAAAGCTTTGAGATCAGAAATTGGTCAAAGATCTATGTTTTTCTTTAAGTTTCAAGATTCAACTTTGGATTCTTCTGTGACTGGAAGAGCAATTTTGTTTTAACATGGTGATGTCAGAATATCAAAGGCTGTGGTGATGTCTCAGCCACAATTGCTGGCAGAATGTTACAGCTTGTGTTCCTTTCTTTCCTCAAGTTCACAGGACTGCAACATGTCGTCTGAAGTAAATGATGAAGAAACAAACATCCATGGGATGATCTGCTTAGGTCTGATCCTCTGGTTTTGTGGCTGCCTCTTGGAATTCAACAGGCCCTGCAGCTTCCCCTTAGTACTGGGAATATAGATGTAGGTACATGGGATCCAGGGTCTGATTTCCCTTGAATATCCAGAGGAACATTTTCGATACAGGGGATTAAATTTAGACTTTCTGTAATCATCATAAAGTAGGCCTATCCAGTGCACTGCAGTGTAGCTGAGTTGTACTAGTACCTCTTACCAAAAGTTTTAGTCATGTATATAAGAATATTATGCTAATTGGTTAGGTCTGGTGCTTGAGAAACTTCACGTAAAACTGTGCAAGCTGCTTTTCAGCATAGGGAAAGTATAATATCTGCTTGATTCATCATTAGACTGCAGATCTGACCATGAATTCAATATAGCCTGAACAACAACAATAAAAAAATATCTTCTGTACGGGTAGGGGAGCAGAAGGTAAAGAATCTTTAGTGAGAAAATTAATGTTGTCTTTCCTTGGAGGTGGTTTGTGAACAGTTCCTTTTTGGGGAAGTGTGTTCATGTCAGTATATAGCTTAGTAAAAGTGTGATAAAGTGGAAGAGGTAGTGGTCTGAATGTCTTTCATTTTCTCTCCTATCTTCCTCTGAAGTTGTCCGTATGGCTTATTGATTGGACTGGTGGTCCATAGATGGATTAATGACCTTTTGCAATAATTGTGGTGATATCAAAGATCAGAATTAAGCTACGGTTTCTTGAGACTTATTCAGAACTGGCACTGGAAATGAATTTATTTCCTAGGGCTAGACCATGGCATTATGATCCTTTAACATAGAAACTTAAGTCAACATGACTACTCTTCTTGGGTCAGTTTACAGTTGGAGATTTTACAGCTGAGAATTAATGGGTCTGAAATTGCAGATTCATGCAATTTTGATCTTTTCAGGTAGCCCCCACTAACAAAGGCTGGCACATACAGTCAATAGCCTTGTTGTTTAGCCTGGCAGGACTGGAACAAAAGGCCTTGTTCCAGAAGTTTGTCTGTATTAGGATAGGCTGAATTCTACTGGATTTGCTTTGTTGAATTTTAGCAGCTTCTAACTGGTGATCATTTGGTATCATTATTCAAGCTTTGCTGTCAATAGACAAGACTAATTCACTAGTACACATGTTACTAGGTTGTGCCATCAAGCCTTTATGGTGACTTGAACTGTGTTCATTGTCCTTACACAAGGAGATTTGTTTTAGCAGGGCATGGGTATGTTTTTATCAGTCTTTCTACAGCAATGCAATAGAGAATGACTTTTCCTCTAGAAGGTCAAGCATTAATATAGGCACAATGCCTCTTTCATTTTGGCATTAAAACTTAATGTTGCAGCATAATAGTAATTATTATTAAAAATAAAAAATAAAAAAGTTAATAAACAAAAATGGTCTAAAGTCACATTTAATCAAACTGAAAAACTGTCAACCGTGTTGGTCTATTTATGTCAGTTTGGCATATTGAAATTCCAAAAATGATCACTGCTGTAATTTGAAAGGAATTCTTGCCGTTAAAAGTTCCATACATCTACATTTTGTAATCTTACCCGTAGATCCCTATGCAACAGTAAAGAAAAGAAGTGAGCAAAGGAGATACGAGGACACTCCAGTGGGTACTTCCTCAAGGAGTCAAGCACCTGTCAAGTTGTATTGTTGGCACACCCCAACAATGAGACACTACAAAAGCTATTCAAAGAACATATTTTTCCTGAACATTGTTCTGGGGAAAAAAACCCACAACCTCAAACTGAATCTTTTTAGGTAAAATATTGAGAGGATTCATCCAAAAGCATATATTGAAAATGGTTTAAACTCAGCAAAGATAACAATGTAACATCTTGTAATAGAAAGTGTTGAGCAACATTAACTATAGGCATTATTATCTGTATTTGCTATAATAACATCAGTGTAACATAGCCTGGAATGCACTCCCCAGAGATGCAGTCTCAGATCAGCACAGGCATGATTAAACACTACATAATATAAAATTTTTTGAAAATAAATATGGTATGATTCTGTTACTCAGAAATAGAATATTTATTGATTATTCATACAGGTCATCCCAAATGAGCACAGAAGAAAACATCTTTATACATCACATCATAGTGTTATATTGCTTTCAATATAATACATATAAGAGAGAGGAACTACCTGAAGAATATTTTTTAACAACTGAAAAAAACACCAGTATTGCAATAGTTGTCTGTATCTTTTGCACCTCTAAAGGCTGGCGAAATTAACATGACTGTAATAGTTCAAGGTTCAGCAGATAAGATGAAGTCTTAAGAGTAGTATCTGCAAAAGACCTCAAAACCACTTAAAATTGTCTCTCTATATGTTAATTTTAAAGTGCAATAAAGGATTTTCCACACTTAAAAAGGCTGGAACACCAATACTTTCCATGGGAATAGACTTTTTACTCAAAGCTCTACAGAACGGCAAGGAAAAAATCCCTGTCAACCATCAAAATGTATCAGAAATCAGTTATATTTCTATTAAAAGTATCTAAGTCTAGAGCAGAGAATAGTGATTGTTAACTCCCTGGCTCTATTCAGAGAATCTGTCATGTGGAATGTGTCAAGGAAACTGGAGGTGGCGTCACAGAAGAAACTTCCCTGCTTCTGCATAAATCAGGAGAAGCTAAGGGCTCAGGGCCTACTTCAAATCCTATTCTTTGCATTAATTGTTCTTCAGCATACTTGAAACATACTAAAGAAAATCATCAGTAAGTTGCATATAATAAGACAGATTTTTATGCTTTGTCTACATACTCTATTAGTCAGGTGATAAAACTCTCATTGACTTCAAAGGGTCAGATTTTTATAATGCAAATTCTAAGAGTCATCAGACATAATTTTGCTAAACAGAAGTATTCATTCTCAGACAGAGAATGTATATGTATTCAAGGGGTAATAAACTCAAAAGGTGGTTGGATTTTGGTTTTTTTCTTGCAGAGAGTTGTAGGCCTAAGAGTAGATAGCAGTCAGTATCAGCTTTTATCAGAATCCAAATATGTCATTTTCAATGTTACAGGAGTGACTTCACCTCTGGCTCCTCTCTGACTTGTCTGATCCTGGGCTTGTGTTTGTGTACAATCTTGCTTTTATTTTCTGTCAGGAGGCAAGCACTATCTTGTATATACTAATGCCTATCCTGCAGATCTGACTGGTTTCAGGCACCTGTTTTTCTTTTGATATTGTCGAACAGTTCCCTTAGAAGAAAGCATCTTTATTTAGCAGTTGGAATAAAATATGAGAGAAAAGGGGGTTTTAGAAACACCAAAGAGCCTAAGCCCATAATTAGTTTAATTTTGGTCAAGATCCAGCTGGAACCAATCCACTTCATAGGGATATGCAGGAGTAACATAGTCATGCTGATAGTCATCAAATGTCTCTCATAATTCTCCCTCATCCCCAGGGACAGGCAACCTCTAACAACTGACACAATCAACTGTGAAAGAGTATCTCAGGTCACACAACCTGAGTTACAGGAGTGATTTTAAAAACCAGTGGGGATATTAATGAAAGTAATACTCCATTATGGGAATACTCTCATCCACAGAAGGTTAGGCCAGGTGTCCATATGTATGTGTCTGTCACCTGGCTGGAAGTGAAGATGCACTTCAAAGACCTGAAAATCACATGTCCAGTGCCTTATGTATAGCACAAAAACTTTATATTAAGGCCAGATCCAAATACAGCATAAAAAATTTACTCAAAGGCACACCCACATTTGTCACAGTTACATTCCTATTGCGTTGTGTAAGAAGAAAACAATATCTGGCAAAAATAAACAGAGGCACATAAACGAAAGAGAACTGGTTACAATCCTTTCATGTTTTATCTGATATTCTAAGGTCAGTTAAAATACATGTTTGGTGTTATCGTGGAAATGTCACATAAGAAAATATAATACCAGTTTACTTACAGAATGTTGAAGAGGAGAATGGTTGGAAGAATGTTCTCAACAGAGATGAAACAATGCAACAGTTATTGAAGATAAGTGTATATATTTTCAAAGTCTGCTTTCCATCTTATTTATTCTGTTCCAGAAGAGTCTTTCCTAGCTTTCATCATGGGTACTTTCTCAGTGACGTGAAACACAACTACAGTCCAGATGATGAAAGTGTAGCAGTGAACAAGATAGGAGTAGGTTTATTTTCTGTCCAACTGGTTGAGAAGAATTTTCAAACCTATCAGCTAATTTGGAATCTTGAGGGATGGAGGAAATTTATGAAGGTGAAGATGAATAACCAGCCTCTGTGCTATTCCTGACACACTGAAAAATATTTTAAACAGTATTTGCATAGCTCTTAGGATCCTTGGGTTTTGAAGACTTGCCCAACCTAAGAATTTGTTTCTCATTTTAGGATATAAAGGAAACAATTTTTGTTGTTAAGTGGAACATAAACCTTAAAGCAAGACACCTATGCACATACACGAATTTTCCCATTCACTATAAATAGTCTTCAACATGAAAACTAATGCCCTGTTGACTCAGGCTTGCTGAAGTAATGCAATTTCTATTTAAATCTTGTTAGGGAATTATAAATGTTTTGGGGGAAGGAAAAAAAAATTCCCCACATGGCTATTATTCCAGAAAACAAGCACATGCCTGAAAAGAGGGAGAAAATTCTATCCCTCTGGGAATATTAAGTTCTAGCTGTTAAGTGTCCACTAAGGTAAAGGTTGATAAGGAATTTACACTTTTGTATTATTGTTAACTGGTAATCAAGTAATAACATAATTTATTCCTGAGTAGCCAACTAACATCCACACTCCGAAAGGTCAGTATCTGTGCTTGATGACAATTGTAATTTCTTGGGGTGTTTATTCTTTCTTTTTTCTGTTACCTTGTCTTCTTTGGTACCAATCCTGAGTTCCTGCCATTTGTGAAACAAATCCTGTCATCCAGATTCATGTTGGCTTTGTTTAAATCATAGCAGCCTTCCAGTATCTGAAGGGGGCCTACAGGGATGCTGGGGATGGGCTCTTCATTAGGGACTGTAGTGATAGGACAAGGGGTAATGGGTTAAAACTTAAATAGGGGAAGTTTAGACTGGATATAAGGAGGAAATTCTTTCCTGTTAGGGTGGTGAGGCACTGGAATGGGTTGCCCAGGGATGTTGTGAATGCTCCATCCCTGGCAGTGTTCAAAGCCAGGCTGGACGAGGCCTTGGGTGATATGGTTTAGTGTGAGGTGTCCCTGCCCATGGCAGGGGGCTTGGAACTAGATGATCTTAAGGTCCTTTCCAACCCTAACTATTCTATGATTCTATGATTCTAAATCTTTTCTCATCTCTTTTCTCTTGCATGCAACAGCATCAAGTAAATGGATTCCTACAGTTTTTTAATTAGTGACAGTAGTTATTAGGGATATAAAAATGACTCAGATTGGTCGGCTTTGACTTAGATTCATAGCTGAACATACCCGGTCAGATTTCATTGTGTATACTTTTCAGTCACTTCTAAGTTTTGAGAACCTCACTAGCTCCCTAAGGCTCTACTTTTTTTTTCCTACTTTGCAAGTGGCAGTTAGTCTCCAATAAATTTAATGAAATCTTTTCAATCCAAAGAGAAATAATAACAATACAAATAACAACAGCAGCAATAATAACAACATTCACAGAAAAAAAGTTAATTTTTCCAGCTGTGATTTGAGGGATAAATTTTTCAGATACTTTCTTCCTCTTCACTTTAGACTGCAGCATCTTAAATAGGAGGTGATAGTTCTGAACTCAGAAACGTAGTCCATTAAATTCTAGAGCAACTCAGTTACACTTCAGGAGTCATTAACAATCTGTGGAAGCTTACACTGCTACCACTTTATATGATTTTGCTCAGACAGCATATTTTAATTCAGTTTAATTTATAACTGCATGGGGGTGAGAGAACATATCTCATGTTATTTTACAAACCTAACCAGAGAATTAATTGTTAGCCACCCCCCCCTTTCAAATCCAGCTTGGTATAGATCATTTGTTACTAAGACTCCTTTCACACAGGATTTTTCATACTTTTGCTATGTATAGAGTAACTTGAGAAATATGTAGAAGAGATTGCCATCACTGTCATACTACCAAGTTGCTATACACTTATGCCGAATAGCCTTGGCATTTATGGTTTTCAAAGTCTGAATAATGTCAAATTTGCTCTTCAGAGATTTTCTGATGATCTTTTTTTAACTTCAGATGTAATCTCCAGGTGCAGGTGAGCCTGACATGTTTGGTGACACGTTCAGACTAATGCAATGCATTCATGGAAAATAATGACACGTGGGAAAAAACCCAACAAACAAGTACATATTTTTTGGTGATACTTTCCCTGGAGCCTTCGCTATCTCACTCTGTGACACAGTAGTACCCACAGAATCAGGTCTCGAGTTACAGCTAAACAAAAGTTTAAAATGTGTGAAAGTCAAGGGGTTTTTCCTAGTTAAATGGGTGTTTACTCACTTGGAACAACTACTCTAGCAGTGGAACCACCTTCTAAAATGTACTAATATTCACAGGTATTTCCACTACCATTTCAGAGGGCCTCCAGTAATGCTGACAATCTGTGCGAATTGGTGTACATATTTTCCTCCTTATCCACCAGTAAGCCCTCTTTCTCAAGTGCTTTATGCGTTCCACAAAATTGTTTTGTCTGTGTTTTTGTTGTAAGCTCCTATAATAATAAATGTGTTCTTTGGTCAATACACATTCAGTTCCACTGATCCTCCAGTGTGTAGTCTGCCACGAAATAAACGTATTAAATCACATAAATCATATATATCACAGGTAGCACTTGAAAACAAAAACAAAATGAGCATCTTCTCCAATTAACACACTAGCTCAAGGTTCTGATGGAAAGGGATGCTAACCCACAATCTTGACTAAGTCCTAAGATATGCCTCTTCTAGATGCCAGTGCTAGAAACAAAGGCTGAAGTGAATCTATTCCACTGCTCTGCTTAAAAGCAAAATATCACTAAGGCCTAAAGCCTCCCACTTCCAGTTCATCTAGTTAATTTTTGACTCTGGAAATTGAAACTAAACCTTCTTAGTCATCATTACATATTACTTTTTTCCATCTGCAATATCCTTTGAGAACATGAATGCAACTATCTTTTGTTTGAAGAAAAGTGGGGAAAATGAATTTCCAAACCAGCTCAAAAACAGTCCATCAGACATATGATCAACCTCACAGGTGGTTATCAAGAGTAGCAAAGGGAGAGTCGTTTGTTGTCTGTTCCAGTCTAAAGAAAATCACTTGTCAAGACTGGCTTACCTGTGCAACTAGCTGGTTGAGTATTCTGCTGTGAGCCAGGCTGTGATCAACGTGACAGTACTACCATCACCTATCAGTCCCCTTGGTGACATCAGATCTGGTCTACCAATGCAACCCGCCAGATAATTCTTAGACGTCTGCTCTGCAAATACAGCTGCCAG